TATAAAATAGTTTTCAAAAATTTCATTCTACAAATTATTTATGGAGAGCAACTTTTGCGCTTTTTTTTATTTTTATTTTTTATTTACATAAATTGCGCTTTTTTATTTTTATTTTTTTATTTACATAAAAAGAGTTATGCTTTCTATGTATTTGTAATTATTTTTTATCATGTGCACTAATTTATAATTTTTTCCTTAAGAAATCTTGATAGACTGTTGAAATATAAAAATATTTTTACTTAACTTTATCGGATGGGCTGAACAGCGAATTATAAAAGAAAAAAAAAAAAAAAAAAAAAAAACTTTGCCACTACCATTATGTAGACCACAATAGGTCTAATCCAAGTATGGAATAAAGCATTCGATGTTGCAACTGTAAAGTAAGAATGGCAACGGGGTGGGGCAGGGTCGGGGATCACCCTCCCTGTCCTCGATTTTCGATTGTGAAAATCTCCCCGGCCCCGGCCCCGATCCTCGACGGAGAACCTACCACCATTCTCGTCCCCGCCCCCTAACGGGAATCGGGTTTTCTCGACCCCGAAAATTTCCCGCCCCTCAAATCGGTTTCAACACCACCATCAACAACAACAACAACAGAATCATCATCATCAACAGAATGATCAACATCACTATATCAACAGAATCATCAACAGATCATAAAAAATAAAAAAAAAAATGGACAGATACATGTATAGATACATACACAAACAGATCTGAAATCTGTCACAGAGAGAGAAAGAGTGAACGATCGGCATCATGAACAGACGGTGAAGAAAAAAAAAATGGACTCTGTCACATACATGTATCTTTGAGATCTGTCACAGAGAGAGAGAGAGTGGACGATCTGAGATTTGTCACAGAGAGAGAGAGAGTAGACGATCTGTCCGACGCCGGTGCTCTTGAGGAGGTGCTTCGTCACGTACGTCGCCTCCGACGCCGACTGTTTCCCCCTGTACATGATCGGAGGCTGCAATCGTCCGACGCCGACCTCACGTACGCCGCCTCGATCGCAGTGTAACACCGTCCCTTCGTTACCACTGCTGCTCGATCTACTGAAAAAGAGAGAGGGAAGAGAGAAACCGAGAGAGAAGATGGAGAGAGAGAGAGAGGGGAAAGAGAGAAACCGAGAGAAAAGATGAAGAGAAAAGAAGCGGTGGTCTGTGTAATGTTTTAGGGTTTAGTTATATATATATATATATATATATATATGGGTAAAATGGTAATTTTATTTTCGGGGACAAACCGGGGCGGGGCCGGGCCGGGGACGGGGCTTGGATACTGATCCCCATCCCCTGCCTGAAAGTGATCAGGGATTGATTTTTTAATACCATTCCCGTCCCGTCGAAGGTATTTTTTGAAGAAAAACCGTTTGAATCGGGGTCAGGGGGGTTGGATCCTCGTTGGGCCGGGTTCAAATTGCCATCCCTACTCACGGACACAGAAAACTTTTGGTATTGACACGCCACCACACTGCCTTTAAGCCTCTGAGCATGTGAGGCCAAATCTTATGTAAGGGTTGCGACAAAAGTTGCCCCTCCAATTATCACTGACCTCCAGTGTAGTAATTTAGTGAAAAAAGAGTAAATTATACTTGTCTTTTTCATGTTTGGTATTTTTCTTTTATTTTGACCTTAAAATTTTACTTTTTCACTTTGTCCTTTTCAGTTTCAATTTTATTTTTTTAAAATTTATTTTAAAAACTAATTTATACTTAAAATTAAATAAAAAATAATACATTGATAGTCATGTTCTATAAAAATATTTTATTACCTATGTAACACATTTTGACCCATGAAAGGTAAAATTGTAATTTCACCGTTGGCTAAAAACCAACTTCCCAAATGAAAAAAAAGCCAAAAAAGCTAACTTTTGACTTTTACTACTAACCAAAAAAAGTGGCTAAAAACTATGTTGCCAAAATAAGCCGTAATTACCCCAATAATAAACATATAATTGAATAAAATAATTCTCACAGCCAGGACGCAAAAGCTGTTGCCAGGTGTTGTTCTTTACGCAGCAAAAGCAGATACCTTAAACAATAAAATCAAATAAAAATAGGACTGACTTCGATTGAACTAGAGGATATTATTGGGTTCGTGGAGATTCATTACGGGTCTTATTTTGATAATTTAAATTGTTCAATGTATATAAATCATTTATTATATAAGTTCGTTTGGAAAGTGGGTTATCTTTTTAGTTTTTTGACTTTTTGGTTATTTTAGCCTGAGGCTAAAAAGTTTCGTTTGTGAAATTTTTTTTGGCTTTTTTGATTTTTTGTGAGAGAAAGAATGTAATGATTATGAGTTGGATGTGATGTTTTGTCTTATTGGGCTAAAAAACCTAAAATGGCTCCAAACCCAATCCTATGCTTGTAAAAAATCATATTGATCGGATATCAATAGTTATTTTATCGGATCAGATTTTTGTCAATCGTTTATTTTTTCACCGTCCATTATTTTTTATACAAAACTGAATTGATCACGTTGTTATCGATATCCAATCAACGTGATATTTTACAAGCATATAATACCTGATAAATTTTACTTATTGAACGATTCAAATTATTAAAACGAGACGTATAATAAACTTTTATGAACTCAATAATACCCTCTAATCCAACCACAGGCCGAAAAGAAACCAGTCCCATAAAAATACAGGTAAGAAAAATTTTAAGTTAACACTTTATATCCACCCCGCAAAAGGAAATCACTTTAACCAAACCAAAAGAACGTACAGAGACTATATCACACGAGCAAGGCAAGGCTATCATTAAAAAAAATTACTACACTTATGTGAGTTCTAGAAAATATGTGTTTGAACGGATTGAATAAAGAGGATTGTAATTCATTAAATTGTTTGTTTTGAAATATATTATTGTCAAACTATTTAGTTGGATTGAATTTGTATTTTATGTTTGGTTAGTTATGAAATTAGATGTCTGGATTGAATTATTTTATTGAATTTTATATTTATTTGGGATATTATGGAGAGGATAAATGGTTAAAAGACTATTTTGTCATTTTGAATTATTTACTAAGTAATAGAAATATTAAATATGAATTATAAATTTTATTTAATTTTTTTACTAGAACTTTAAAAAAATTAAATAAATAGAATATTAATAAAAATTACATAAATTTATTTTAATTTGTAGTTGAGATTTTTAAATTTTATTTTACTTTACTAAGTATAATTAATACCATATCATTATTAAAATAAATAATTTAATAAATAGAAAATTTATTAAGTATAATCTAGAAGTACGGACACGGATAAGGACGTAGATATGGATACAAATACGGACACAGGACACGTGCGATTTTACAAAATGGAGACACGGACATGTTGGGGACACAACAATAAAATATGTTTTCATATATTTTTATTTATTATCTAGATTAATATTACATCCACAAACAATCAATATTAACAAAAATTAATTCTAATTCTATTTTTTATTAAAAAAATAATTTTAATTAACACTTACAGTTTATATATATATATATATATTATGAATGATCTATTAAGTATTTAAATTGAAGAAAAAAATAATAAACATTCAACATTCATTAAAAACACTAATAAAATTGGGGAAAAGAAAACTTGTCATGTCCCTAGTGTGTCTCCGGTGTGTACCCTGGAAATAAATTAATTAAATAAGGAGACACACCATGTGGTGTGTCCCATACGTGTCCCCAAAGTGTCCGCGTGTCCGACACGGATACGACACTTGTTTTGAAGTATCGATGCTTGATAGAGTATAATTTATTAAATAATTTAATAAGTATAAATAATTTAATAAATAAATTTTATTTTTAAAAAGATATTAAATAGTAGAGGATCAAAAATATAATTTAACTATCTAATCTCATGGGATGAGTTATCCTATAAATTGTGTCCCCACCCACCCCATGGGATAGAACAATCCCATGGATTTTGAATTCATAGTCCGGTGCAAAAATTTTGAATCAAACAACGGACTATTAATCCAAATAAACTATTAATCCTATCACATGATTCCTTCCAAACAAACACCACCATACATATTTATCACACAAGCAATGCTAGGCACTTTAGGAAAATTATTACAATCTCACACCCATGAGTATTTGGTTAAAAAAATTTAGGTTTTGTTTGGCAAAATAGTTAGAACTAATTTAACTCATTAAAAGATAAAAATATAAATATGTTAGAAAATTAATAAAATAAAATATCACATTTAAATTATAATCATTTTAATTTCTCTCATAAAATTATAAAAAAGTCAAAAGTTTATCAAAATGAAATTTTTTTAGTCAAGATAAAATAATAAAAAAAATTAAAAAATCAGGCTAAGAAATTCTGAAGGCTTAGGTGCTATTTGATAAAGCTGAAAACTGAAAATTAAGTATTGAAAACTGAATGTTGAATTTATTAAGTTAAAAAGTTATTTGATGAAAATTTAAGTATTGAACTAAAAATAAATTATTTGATATGTATAAAATTAAATTTAAAAATTATTATTTTTAAATTATATATTTTAATTTTTATATTATGATGGTGGCAGTGGCATAGTGGTGGTGATAGTGATAGTGATAGTGATAGTGATAGTGATAGTAATAGTGGTAGTGGTGGTGGGGATAATCGTCGTGGTGGTGGTGTTGGTGGCGGCATGGTGACAGTGTTGATGGCGGCGGCATGGTGGTGGTGGTGACGGCGGCGGTGGCATGATGGTGGTGGTGATATTAAATTTATAATAGTGTATATTGATATATATTTAGTATTTATAAATTCTGTCAAAATTAAATAAGTTTCATATGATTTAAAATTTTCTTAAGTTTTAATCTATATTTTATGAAGTATTTAAATTTTTAAGTGATATCAATTATAATTATCAAATAAATTTAATTAATTATTACTTAATATATTCAATTTTAAATATTGAATATGTTATCAAACAGTTATACTCGGGAGTTCAAAAAAAAAAAAAAAAAACAGTTATATTCAGATCTCTGACTTTTTTTCATATCACACACACTACATACAACAACTGTCCATTTCATACTACGCTCTCCAGCAACGATTGAGGCCAAGAAAACATGAGGGTTTTCTCGTACATCAACAGACTCATCCATGGCCACTCCACCTGCTCTAAGCTCCTCCTTCTCTTCTCTGTCAGGTTCTCAATCTTTTTATTTCTTCTTCATTTGTGATTCACTTATTCATATATATATATATATATTGGGCATCGATTGGATTGATTGTGTATGTAGTCTTTGGTTTCTTTCTTTTCTGTTTTTAAAACATCCATTTCGTCTTTGATTGGGGTTTGAAGTTTCAGCATTTAATGATAGTTTTTTTTTTTTTTTTTTTTTTTTTTTTTTTGTAAGTTTAATTGGGGTTGATTAACATTACTCTGTTTTTTCGTTTTAAATTTTCTATTCCTTTTTATGTATGCTAATTCTTTATGTGGTTTCCCTGATGTGGAAAATAATCATGTGATCAATCATGAGAAATTGATCCAGTTTGATTTTGTGTATCTATTAGTCTCTTGATTACTCATTGAGCTGAGTTTTTTATTTCCATAATAATATTAATTAATTGATCTGTCCCATAACATAAGGCAAGTTCCATGTTAACAAAAATGGATTAATGCCATCAGAACCAACTAGCTTTCCCCGCCATTCGTATCATCGGGCATGTATATGAGTTTCTGTACCCATGATGCAAACAACAATTTCTATCAAGATTTTGTTTGCGAGTTGGATTCATGTTTATCTAAGGTTGAGATGTCACTACCATGTCAAAAAGAAAAAAAGGAAAACAAGAAGACTGTAGGGTTTGTTTGGTTGTGTTTTTTTTTTTTTTTTGTGGTTATTTTTGTTTCCAGTATGTAATGCAAAGTTTTCTAGCCCCGTGTCACTGACCCTTTGAGGAGTCGTGAGGAAATCATCTTTTAGATCAAACAGAAACAGAATAAAAATTTGAGATATAAAGTACCGTAACAGTAATCGTTGCCTTGAAAGAACTTGATGGAGAATCCATATATCTAAGCATTCCACTTGACAGAAAACTGACTTGATTGAATAGCTATTTTTTCTTATTGTTTTGTTGGATATTCCCGAGAAAGGCAAAAATATTAGGTTTGCATGGTTTGTGTTTGAAATATTGTTGACACACTTCAAGAATGACAATAAATGGTGATTTGGAATGACAATAATATTGTTCTGATTTTCAGTTTGTGGCCATTTGTTCTTGTGAATTGTACTTACCATATGTTAACTACTACAGTAGTGGAGGTCTTGTGGCATACGCAGAGTCACAAGCAGAAAGTGAAAGACACGGTTTCGAGCTCAGTCAACTGGAATCCAAGAAGAAGAGGGTGTTGGTGCTGGGGACAGGCTGGGCCGGTACCAGTTTTCTGAAGTATCTGGACAATTCATTGTATGATGTTCAGGTGGTTTCCCCTCGTAACTATTTTGCATTCACTCCTTTGCTACCCAGCGTCACATGTGGAACAGTGGAGGCACGAAGCATTGTGGAGCCAATTCGGAATATGATAAAAAAGGTCAAAGCCACTATGTATTGTAAATTTGTTAACTGCATTTTTAATGCCCAAACTTGAAATATTTGAACGATTGGTATTAAGTAGAAACAATATTGGGTTTGCAATGATTGCTCTTAATTATTACTGTTGACCTTTCTATGTGGAAAATTGCAACATATCAATCATTTATGTAGTTTATTATAGGAATTTTGCTAACACATTTCTGGTTTTTCCCTGACAGAAAAATGGAGAAATTAAGTTTTGGGAAGCAGAATGTCTCAAGATTGATGCAACAAGTAAAAGAGTTTTCTGCCGGTCTAATCTGGATGAGAACTTAGTGGGAAATAATGATTTCTTTCTGGATTATGATTATTTGATCATTGCTGTTGGAGCACAAGTAAATACTTTTAACACACCTGGTGTCGTGGAGTATTGCTATTTTCTGAAGGTGGAGTACATCCTTGCTTCATTCAGGCTGATCGATACAGCATATATATATGTCTATATTTATTACGTATGTTGGAAATATATGATATCAGAGATGGTTGCTTTTTATTTTCTCTGAAACTTCTTACATACCCTGTGAATCCTGGAAATTGCATTACAGGACCTAAATTGTATAATGAGAGAATAATATGATGTAAAATGTCTATTACGCGTTTTGAAGTTGAGTTTGTTAATACTAAGGTGGGGTTTGGCAATTGATTTTTTAGTTGCTTTTTTGCTTACAGTTGCTAGTCTTTTTAGACTTGCTTTTTGATGAGAAATTACTATATTACCCTTATAATATTGTGGAGCCTTGTAAGGACACGGTTGAATTTCTGAAAGTACTGAAGGTAAAATTGTCTTTTCACAAATTTGTTAAAAAAGTTGTTTTTAATGGAGAAGCCATCCCTAACAAGCTTATTTGTTTGACATTTTTAGTCAAGAACTGCTTATTTAGGAGACTCCAAACAAAGGCTAAAAAGAAATTATGATATTTCATGCAGGAGGTGGAGGATGCTCAGAAAATTCGTAGGAGTGTGATAGATTGTTTTGAAAAGGCTGTACTCCCCGGCCTGAGTGAGGAAGAACGAAGGACGAACCTCCATTTTGTAATTGTGGGTGGGGGTCCAACTGGTGTGGAATTTGCTGCGGAGCTGCATGACTTTGTCCACTCAGACTTGGTCAAGCTATATCCTTCAGTTAAAGATCTAGTGAATATAACGGTGATCCAATCTGGAGATCATATCTTAAACACGTAAGGATATAGAATTATCATCATCAATTTAACTTTGTAAATTGTATATGAACATATTGCGATTTATTACTATGGTATCTTAATAAATCTAACAGCTCTATCCTTTTTCCCCCTCTTCTTGAATGTGTTGTGAGTGAGAATGTTGGGATTTTTACTTGGCTTTTGATAGCACACAATCAACTGCTCTATTATCAATCAGTTTAGCTCATGTAAATTGTTTTACATAATATTGTCTCTACATTGAATCTTGCAAATAAAAGGCGAGATCAGAAATCAAAAGCTCAGATAGCTTGTGTTTTTTATGTCTTTGTAGGTTTGATGAAAGAATCAGTTCATTTGCAGAGCAGAAATTCAAAAGAGATGGCATAGAAGTTTTAACAGGATCTCGAGTGGAAAGTGTTTCTGATAATTTTCTTACCATGAAGATGAAATTGACTGGGGAGGTTTTCTCCATACCCCATGGCATGGTGGTTTGGTCAACTGGAGTTGGGGCTCGTCCAGTTGTGAAGGACTTCATGGAACAAATTGGCCAGGTTTTTTTATTTCTCTCTCCTTCGTCTTCTTTATCTACCATAGTTTTGGGGTAAACAAGTAAAGTTTGATAAGTCATAATTGACTTATAATTAGGACACAAATTTTATAAGATTTTTACTTTGGGTTCAGTAAAATTTTGTAAACAAGTGTGATAATTCATAATTAAGGTTTTGGTCTGTATGCAGGGTAGTAGACGTGTTCTAGCAACTGATGAATGGCTGCGAGTAAAGGGATTCCAAGATGTGTATGCGCTTGGAGATTGTGCTACTGTAGATCAACGTAAAGTCATGGTGTGTAAACTTGTACCTCTACGATGAGTACCGATACGATGTTCATGGATAGAGCTTTCTCTGTCAAACCTCATTGACAACTTCAAAAAAATTAAAAATATACTGTCAGAAACCCAAATCAAACTAATTAAAACTATGTTACTTGACAGTAAAGATATTTTTTTGAACTGATATAGTTAATCAGTGATGAGAACAGGAACATTCACCAAGATAGAGAAAAATAGCAAATAATTTGTGGGTATATTCTGCTAGAAAATCTCTCTTTTATCACCATGTTTTGTATATGGAACATGGTACCCAAATGGAATTTTTTATTTGACGAGTAGTTATTATTATAGTATCAACTTTATTGAATGCATCATTATAAACCATCATTATTACTATTTTTATAATAGTGGGTGCATTATTGTATATCACTATGTTTTTAGGAAGACATCTTGACAATATTTAAATCCGCGGACAAAGACAACTCTGGTACCCTAAGCATCGAAGAATTCCACGACGTAATTGAAGACGTCCTTGTAAGGTACCCCCAAGTGGAACTCTATTTGAAGAGCAAGCATATGCCCGACGTGACACATCTCTTGAAGGATGCTGAGGGAAATGCAAGGCTGGAAGTGGATTATGAAGAGTTTAAGTTAGCCCTTAGTCTTGTTGATGCACAGACAAAGAGTCTTCCCGCAACTGCTCAGGTATATATTTAGACATTCATTTTGTTCGTGTGGACTAAAAGCTTCTTACTATTTCATGGCAATTTCTTACTATATCATGTCATCTTAGGTTGCTGCTCAACAAGGTGAATATCTTTCTAGGTGCTTCAACCTTAGGAAGCAGTGTGAAAATAATCCAGAAGGACCTCGCCGCTTTAGAGCTTCTGGACGTCATCAATTTCGCCCCTTTCGGTAATCATACTACTATTTTCAAGGTTCATCTTTCTTTTAAATTTGTTTTTATTATTTCTATGTACATTATCAATCATCATTTTGACTGTTGATAATTTTTTAAGGAAGAAAACTCCCGATTTCCGGGGGGAAAAAAATACTGTTGAATAGCTTGATATGTGTTGTTAGGCCCATTTTCTAACATCTTAAGTTTTTGAAAAATTATGACTTGACATGGTATCAAAGTTCAGGTTAGACGAGGTCTTGTGTTCAACTATCCCTGTGCTCATCAGGTATGTTTGTTTGCATCTTCATGTGCAATACGGGGTTGCACATGAGGTGTTGAATAGCTTGATATACATTGTTGGGCCAATTTTATAACTACTTTCTCACTCATTCCCCTGCTCAGATCTTTTGTCAAATGCGAATTTTATTCCTGAGAAATAAAATGTACATATCCTACCATTTTCTAGTCTATTTCATGAATAATGACTTGCTGGCAACTTTTTGCTCACAAGGTACCAGCATCTAGGCCAATTTGCGACTCTGGGTGGAGATCAGGCGGCAGCAGAACTGCCTGGCGACTGGGTTTCTGTGGGTCACAGCACACAGTGGCTGTGGTATTCTGTATATGCAAGGTGATCATTTACTACAGCTTGAATTGCGTTTGCTTTTCCTTAGATCAGGTAATGTCGGTGAATCTAACTCTTTTAGTCGTTTGTTACTTTCAGCAAGCAAGTCAGCTGGCGCACGAGGTTCTTAGTGGTATCTGATTGGACAAGGAGATACATTTTTGGCAGAGATTCAAGTCGAATTTGAGGCAATTTCCGTCTTTTATACAAAAATAAACCATCTGGGACTTGGGCTTGAGATTCTGGAAGAATTTTTTCCATTCTTCGATACTATATGGAGATAATAAAAATAAAATGACCACATAAAGGTTCCAGTTCGAGCGAGAGCCTAAATGTCGGAGGCGTGATGATCGAAAGCTCCGCTGATTTGAGCAGTGAGAGAGAATTTTCAAAATTATTGCTAGTTGATGAGAGTTATTTCATAAACAAAAAGAGTATGGTCAATTTCATTTTCTCTCTTTGGGGTTGGTGTAAGCAATGTTTCCATCTCATGGAGTCATTGGACAGCTAGTTGTATGCAATGCCATCGGTTATTATTTATGTTCTAGTTGATCTTGATGCGACATTAAAAGTATATTGATTTTTTTCTCCCACTAACTAAATACTTTTGTCATAGAAGCAGGTGACACATGAATATATTGGCTTCGTTTGGAAAGTTGACTAGTTTAGTTTTCAGCTATTTTAGTAGATTAACATATTTGTGTTTGGGAGGAGGGTTAGAATTTTTTTTATAGTTGGGTGTCATATTTGTAAGAGAAAAAAATAAAATAATTATGGATTTGATGTGACATTTTGTCTTATTAATTATTTTAATCTATTTTGTCTTTTTTGTGAATTTTAGCCCAAAAAAAACTTAAAATTGGCTTCCCAGACAACCCTGCTGTTCTGCTTTCTGAAATTTTATGTAATTGATTTGAATTATGTAATTACTTGAAAGAAATGGTTTGTTTTAGCTGGAAAGTTTCAGTAGTTAAAAGCAATGTTTGCTGAATGGGGCTTCACAACAAGGGTTAGGGTAACCATTATTTTGTTACTTAGATGTGTGCTTGGTATGGTTTAGGTTTTTTACTTTCTGTTTTTGAAGATAAAAATTGGAAACTAATATGAAGAACTTGTTTGGCAAATTTTGTCTGGGAAAGTTTCTAATAAAGCTACTTTCTTAGAAAACACTTTAGCTATTTTTGGAAATTTTCAAAAATTATTTTACACAAATAAAAATTAGGGTAAATTTTACCCCTCTAAACTATTGTCTCATTTCAGTTGATTGCCTTAAACTAAAAATTGTAGGATTTAGCCCCCCTCATCTATTAATTCTTTTCAATTTAAACCTTAATGACAAAAATACCCTTTTTAACTATAAGAGTTTTTTCCTTTGAACTATCACTCAATATCATTCTATTCCACCACCCACTACAAGAATTTACACAATTGCCGACCATTTTTGCGAACCAAAAAAATTTTGGTCGCAAAAAAATGACATTTGGCGACCAAA